TCAAGTTGACTCGTTTCACTCACCCCTCCAATCAGACTCCCCTCTCCATTCCGACGATCCAATTTTATACCCAGAAAATGACGCTAACAACAAAAATGGTAATAATTGTAAAGAATCATTGTCTAATTGTAAAGCTCTTGTTCCCGTTGATAACTACTACACCCCTTTACCATCTCCGGGCCAATCCAATTTTCCTGCCAATGGAGGAAGAGGTAGGCAACCCGAGCCAAAATTGGAAAAGCCCGCATCGGAAAATGTTTCTTTCCGGGCAAGTTCTCCGGCCACCGGAGGCAAGGTCCGGAGACCCTTTTCGCTGTCCATGACAGAGAATCATGAGGGCGGACGGGGGGCAACGTCAGTCTTAGCATTCAACCGGTCGGGAAGGGAGGAGCCGTTGTCAAAAATGGGGCCGGTGGATGGTGGTGGAGACGACGAGGTGGGGGGAGAGAGGCGGTCGCGGGAAGCGGTGGCATCGATATTGAGGCGATCGAAATGGGAGATGATGGTGAAGAAGGCGGCTTTGGGGTTCAGAGTCTGTGAAGTGATAGTGTGTTTGATTTCGTTTTCTGTTATGGCTGCCGATAGAACTCGAGGTTGGAGTGGTGATTCCTTCGATCGTTATAAAGAGTACAGGTTATTCTTATGCTTCTACAGTTCTACTGCATATTTCTTTTTAAATTGCTTGTATATGTGATGTGGTAGAGAAATGTGCATTGCGAATGTCGAGCACATGAGGTTGATTCTCAGGCTCCCCAAACCTTACCTGCAAAAGGGCAGTAGAGAAGTTCTCAATTCTCATCCCATGTTAGAGAGCATGTTTGGATGTTCTTAGAATTTACTTTCTAAAAAAGCAAGTTTTATTAGTAAGAGGAGTAATTTGAAAGTAAAGTTTGATAAAATAATTATCTGGAAAGTAGGATTGACTTCCTTCTAAGCTCATCAAAAGATGTTCCAAGTAAGATGAGAGTCTAGGAGAGGAAAACTTTAAATGTAGGTTAGTTTTGCTTTCGTACCTTATGCAAGTGAGGTCGAAGGCATTGTATAGGCAATAGGAATGAAGATTTTATGGATGGAGTTAACTAATGGAGCATTTGAATGATTTAAGTGAGATCCATGAACCATGATCTTTGGGAATAATTGCTGCCGTGCTATCAAACCAGATGTGATCGAAGGTTCATCATTAGGCTTGGGATTGGTGCATATTTTGAATAATCAATCTGTATCAATATCATGCAGTTGAATTTTCTTCCTTAATATTATTATGTTTACTATTATATGGTTTAAGGAGAGAATTTGGATTTAGGAACAAATTCATAGAGATTTGATATTATAGTCAAGTTGCTGACCTCTCTAAAGGCTCTAATTCAATTGCATTCATTTGTTGGTTAAAGCAAATTAGCACTTGCAAGTTGCAAATTCAGATAAAACATTTTGTCGCAATTATGATAAAAGAATCCTTGGTCGGTGAAACAATATAACTTAGTCGATGAAAACTCGCATATCTTTGTATGGAAAATTTCACATTTGGTCTTCAGCCAATAACCATGATGACAATAAGAATCCAATAAAAATTGGTGCAGCAGGGATGGAACCAGGATTTGTGCGCGTGTTGGGGGTGAGGAATTGAAAATGTGACAAAAACATCAATTAGAAAAAAGAAAGCTAGAAAAATTAAAATATATCTATTTTGGAGAATCTTTTTCACCTAGGTTTGGCATAAAACTCGCTGTAGCTGAGACCCCAAGGCCCTAGACTTCCACAGATTTTAATGCATTTACTTTTCCTGGTCATTTTTTCAACTCAATCACTGCATACCTTAGAAACTGAACCCCCCCTACCCTCCCTGGAATTTCACGGCTGCGTGTCTGGCTGATTATGCTACCATTCCTTTTCTGATCTTTGTAGTGAATTCCATTTTCCGCCTTGTTAAGTGTTTCTCCTGAAGTATACATATCACAGTAGTTCTTTTTTATTTTATTTTGATATGTTCACCTACAGTCTGCAGACCTGAAACCCTTATCTTTTGTCCCCCTTGTTTCATAACAAAAAGAGAGAACAATCCCACTTACAAATAGATCTGATAATAAAGACATCGAAATACGTCCTCAATAGCTATAATGTCTATCCCTTTGGTCCTAGTAATATATATTGAATTTTTCTACCTTAGGGCCTCACCATGGACTAGGTCATAAGATCAATAGATATTTGATTTCAAGAGATTTTTATTTAATTCTACTGAAATGACCTGAGATCTTGAGAATGACCTTGAATTGTGTTTGAATCTCTCATTGATGCAAGGCTAAAAGCTGAATGCCTTTAGAACTGCACAACTGCATGTGGCTAGATTGGCTGGTTTTCTAGGCTGGACATCCAATAGGCACCTCCTTGTTAAATGAAAAAATTAGGATAAAAAGGAAGAGTAAATAGAAGTGCTACAGTTGAGGCTTAACAAGGACAACAGATGGACTGGAAAGTTTTCTTAATTTGTTGTGTGTGTTTAGGGTTTGTAGTGTAGGTTTTGGAAGGTAATTTCGGTGATCTTCTTGAGATGCTTCCTTCTGATTAAATCTGCCCACCTCAATTGAATAATTCTTGGGTTTAAGATTCAGCTTAATGCTTGATCAGCTGTGTGTAAGTTTTTTGCTCCAAACTTCATCAGGAAGGATGAACAGAAAAAGTCCGATCCTAAGGTTGTGGCAACTTTGTAGTTCTATTTTATGATGACCTGATGTATTCTTTGAACAGTTCTATCCAAGATGTAGATGTAACTGGAGTTTGCCCATTTGATTAGTATATGTATTCTAACAATTTTTTCCTTTTTCATTTTTAAGAAACAATTGATTGATGCTATCAGATGTTTTCAGATTTTCCACTTGATACAGATATTTTTTCCCTAATAAATTTAGCATTAATATCCTTGTAGTTGAGATTGCCAGAAAACAATAGAATCCTTTTATTCGACAACTTTGATTTTGGAGAACAATTTTTCCTGATTCTATTTGGTTTTCTTGAGCTGGCAGTGGACTTATTGCAATCAAATCTATGGCCTGCTTGTTGTCCATTAAGAGGGTGTATGGTTAAGCTTAAAAAGTGTACTTTTGAGTCACTAAGTAATTAAGTTTTAAAATAATTAATATGTTTGATTGGTGAAAATAAGTTACTGATCTTGACATGAAAGTAAATATTACTTTCTTTCAAATTAAGTAATTTTTTTACTTAAAAGACATGCTCATTAATCTTCATAGTGAACTGTCAAGATAGACATTATAATATATCTTAACTTGTCATGTTTGGAAACTAAAAGTTATTTAAAAATAAATATATTTTTCTTTGTGCTTAATAAAAGATGCTGTGAGCATAATTATTTCTTAACATAGTCAATGCATTGTCTTGTTAAATAGGTATTGTGTAGCCGTGAATGTTATTGGATTTGGATATTCGGGATTTCAAGCATATGATCTTACCTACCATTTGGTGTCGGGGAAACATTTCATCTCTCACTATCTACGTTACCATTTCGATTTTTCAATGGATCAGGTAAGCATTTTTCTTTCAGCTGATGCAAACTCATCTCGTATTGTACTTTCTATGTATGAAAAAACATGCGTCTAGTAATTATTTTAGAATTTAGGTAGTGTTCGGTAACCAGTCTAGGGATTAATGTTACGCTTGACAAGTGCACAATTTTCAAAATATGTCACAACAAGAGAAGGCCATGTGTATTTATTCTAATTTTGTATTTAAAGCGACCCTTATATGCATTTCATGTCAAAGACGTGACCGTCGCAAACACAAGTGGGCCCCACGATTATTTTAATCGCGGGACCCACTTGTGATGCTAGAGCGCTGTAAAAAATGCTGTACGTGAAGCATGCTTAATTTCAAGAAAATAATCGCGGGACCCATTTATGTGATGTGAGAGAGCTGTAAAAAATATTGTACGTGAAACATGCTTGATTTCAAGAAAGGTACACAGTAATGCTTCAAACTAGACTACACTAGACACCATAAAGAGTTGGATTTTTAGTTTCTTTTTCTTTTTAGATACTATCGAGTCGATATGCTCTCCAAACAAGCCACTATACTTTATAGTCCAGTTCCTTGGATACTTGCTCAAAGAAAAATTACATTTTCTCGTCTGGCAGATTCTGGCATATCTTATAATGTCGGCATCATCTTCAGCAGCGGCGAGGGTGGACGGATGGACATCTACATGGGGGAAAGACGAGTTCACGATAAGGGCAAGTGCATCCATTGCGGTGTCTTTTCTTGCTTTCATTACCTTTGCTTTGAGCTCTCTTATATCTGGTTACAACCTTTGCAACCGAGCAGTAATTTAATCTATTCATCTCCAGTCAATATAATTTTCCTTTCAATAATTCCTGAAAATTTTCTGCGTCGAAATACTACTGCATATAGTTTCTTAAGCTGTACAGACATAGTGATAGATTAACAGCATTTTTTTTCTCGTGGTTAGCATTGGAGTGCAATTTCTTGAACATCAGTATTATTTGAATAGATAAATTATAACTTGTTCCCCAAAACTCATTTTCAATCACGTTTTACCATAAAATAATTTTATAGGTAAATTCGAAAATTTTTCCTACTTTTTAAGCACAGATTCTGAAATTCTAAAAATTCAGCACAGATTCTGAAATTCTAAAAATTCGCTATCCCAAATTCACTATCCCAAAGCATGTTTTCCCTTAAAATGGGGTTCAAACAGGGTAAATGATCGGACCGTCTGGGTCCAAAGCATGTTTTCCCTTAAAATGGGGTTCAAACAGGGTAAATGATCGGACCGTCTAGACCCAGACCACAAAGCTTGTAAAACACGTGGCCCAGCCCGTCACAGAATGGCCGTGCCGCTCCCAGTCTCACTGCAGGGTATGTGGCCAGTCCAGGCAATGCTGAGTGATCGAGTAGACCATTATTGAAGACGAAAGAATAATTCGTTTTATCAGTAGTAGTTATGAACAGCTGTCTATGTGGGAAGTGACTAAAGGAAATGAATAAACACTGTTACTTCAAAACAGAAACAAAATGGTATCTGTCAAATGACTGAAGGATTTAAAACCAAATAGTATTATCAAAGGAGGATGCCCGGAAACGGCAAATGACTTGAACCTACAAAAAGTACAGTCAAGAGAGAGAATTACATGGTCCACGAAATTTGATGCGGCGCCTTTAAAACTTATTTCAATTATCGACTGAAGTCTTTCTCTTCCGATCAGGCGTGGACGAATCCNCACGAAATTTGATGCGGCGCCTTTAAAACTTATTTCAATTATCGACTGAAGTCTTTCTCTTCCGATCAGGCGTGGACGAATCCTGTGTTTGTGCCTGACCAAAGACTGACCTGTATTTCAAGACAATCACAAGTAAAATTTAAATGATCATGTAAAATATAAGCTTTTAGAGCATCTCTTCTTCGTGGGATTCCCTTGTCTATCTTGAATTTTCTCTTCGCACTCTCTTTTATCGAACACACACAGGTAAAAGCATGATAGAAGAACAGGAATGTCACGTGTCTTTAATAAATTCTAATGATGCACGTATTCGTTTCGAAACTATTGAACAAAAGCAATCTAAATCCTAATGAGGTATGTCATACTCGTAACTCAGATTCAAATCAAGATAACCCAAATCAGTATTTGAGGTTTCCTTAAAATACATGAAACATTAAAAGCGCACCAGATATGCTTGATGATTTGAATCTAAATTCTAAAATCAGTTTGAGTGGAGTATTCAAGAAAATATATTCCCTTTGAAGAATAGAGAGCATAAAGCACAATTTTTCAATCTCTTTTCATGGTCATACTTCCAGTAAATTGGAGATACCACTCTGCTTTTTGGCTGCTAAGATAAGAAATATTTTAAATTTTTGTTATTTATTCCATGGAAAAAGAGCAATTGAGAAACAAAGAAATATGGATCAACATGATCCACTTGTGCCTTTGATGAGTCATCACTCATTAGAATTGGTGGTATGCACTGCTTTGTCCCTTGTGGAAAAGTAACTAATTTTAATGTAAAGTCTGTTTTCCATTATTTTGAGGCAACTATCCAACGTATCAGATAGAGAGGTCAAGTTTTTTGGCGGTACTTGTTCATCTCGTTTTTGTGAGTCATCCAAACCAGTAAGTTTTGCAAGGTAACACCAGTATTTTAAACCATGGCATAAAGGTTGATACAGAAACCAATATGTAATGCAACAAAACATGAAATGGAAGTAGTAAGAGAAACTGGAGCTCACCCGCAAGTTGAACATTTCTTGTGATGCTTGCAGAATATCGACAAACACACAGAACATATGTAGCCCATGTCAATTGTGTTTTTGTGGCAAAAGCACCTGCAGATTGTATGGTATCAAAAATAAGCCTAAGAATCATTTTTCTCCACTAGAAAATCCAAGAATCCGATTCATGGTTGCAGTTTAAAAAAAGAGCATAATGTCCTTAAGCAAGTCAACAAACACAGTGCTATAGACAGAGCACGGCAATCAGTGATCTGAAAATTCAACCATGCACCACATTACAGGATAAATAAATTACCAAATCAAACCCAAATGCCAGAATTAATAATCATCACTCATCATTTCAAGAGGTTTTTAACTACATTGATACTTTGTGTTGGACCAAATATTGTTCTAATTGGTGTACACAAAAGAAAAAAAAAGATGTAAAAATAAAGAAGGCTGTGCAGGAGTAGCAGCTAACATTATCAGGTTTTAGGAAACCGTGGATAATATATATAAAGATGAAAATTATATGTAGCATAGAATATTTGGGGGAAGATCAATAATTATAATGCACAGGTTCCATAAGCAACTTACGCTGCACGGAAATCCACCCCCACAGGCTTAGGAAGTTGTAAAAAGCTGCGAGAATGCAGATCTGTTGCAAAAACGGTCTGCATGTGACAATAATCATAAATTAATGATAGATAGTATTACAGGGGAAGGGGAGTCACTGCAACATGTGAAATTTGACTGTTTTCTTAAACAGAAAAAAATTGATGACAAAAAGAATGAGGAGATTATCTTAACAAATGATATGACGGCAACTATTTCAATAAAATGGGAAACTAATTATGAAAGCAGGATCATTACTAACTCCAAGCATAACTGTGGAATGCTGCTCAAATCAAAGTGAAGAATGATCATTATCACTAGAGAAGGTAAATTCCAATTTCAAAATATGCAGGCCACAAAATATTTGCTGTCTGCAAAATTTCCATTGAAACAAAATAAAATAAGAAGATTATAGGTACCAATGCAAAACAATGTGGTTTCTAATAAAATGAAAAAGTTACAGGTACAGAAACCACAGCCCTTGTTTGACACACATTATAACGAGAAAATTTGATAAAATGTATTACGGAATAGTATTTTTTGGAAGAATATGTGGTTAAAAAAGGAGGATTTTTTTCTATTTTATTTACGTGTAATATTATTTTAATGAAAAATGTGTGGTTGAAAAGAAGAGAGAGAGAAAATGTATTAAAAATTTAAAGGGTGTCAAACAAGAGAAAATGTCCATGAAATCCATGTTCAAACAAAGAGAGATTTCCCAACGGAGAAACCAACCCCCTACGGATGGAACAAGGATTTCTTGAAAAGAAGAAAGATAAGAACTAGAGCTCTTGGACATTCTGTTTCTGTAATGCTTATGACTAATTTAAGTGGGACGTGAATTCATCCATTATTACCTTCTCCAGACTTCTATACTGAACTAGAGCTCTCATTGAGATTTTATTTCGATCAATGCACTTACGTGCATGTTTGACAAAGTTTATTAACAATTTATAAGTTGTCAAATTCTATTTTTATCCACACATTCGATAGAATCCACAACTTTTACTAATTTGTTAACCACACATTCCTCAAAACCCATTACTTATAAGCACTTCGAAAATTTGAAGTTTTTATAGCATTACAGGTTTCTGGTTTTCTAGGGAAAAACTCAGAAATAAATAAATTTGAGAGGTTTTTTTCTTGTAAGAATGTCTCTATTTCCTGTTTACAAAAAAAGTTTTTTTATATACAAGAATAATTTTCATTTTTGAGTGTAAATATATAAATTTGGAATGTTTACTAACAGTTATGTAAATATTGGTTGTTTGTTTGAAAATATAAATATGGAATTAATTTTCTTTTTTGAGTGTAAATGTATCAATTTGAGTTGTAGTAGACAGTCTGCATAGACTGTTGAATTTTAATTGTTGGAATTAATTTTCTTTTTTGAGCGTAAATGAATAAATTTGAGTTGTAGTAGACAGTCTGCATAGACTGTTGAATTTTAATTGTTAAATAATCTTCTTGAATTATGTGCTAATTTCATTCTCATTCCAAACAGTTATGTAAATATTGGTTGTTTGTTCGAAAACATAAATATTGAATTAATTTTCTTTTTTGAGTGTGAATGTATAAATTTCAGTTGTAGTAGACAGTTTGCATAGACTGTTGAATTTTAATTGTTAAATAATTTTCTTGAATTATGTGCTAATTTCATTCTCATTCCAAACAGTTATGTAAATATTGGTTGTTTGTTCGAAAACATAAATATTGAATTAATTTCCATTTTGAGTGTAAATGTATAAGTTTCAGTTGTAGTAGACAGTCTGCATAGACTGTTGAATTTTGATTGTTAAATAATCTTCCTTGAATTATGTACTAATTTCATTCTACATGATTTTTTTCCCATATGATTATTGGCCTGTTTGACGCCCATTATTTGAAAAATTAAAGAGTTTTGAATAGTATTTTTGGAGAATATATAGTTAAAAAGTAAGAAAACTTTATTGGTTTGTGTGTGAAATATTTTATTGTGTGAATATGTGATGGAGAATGATACTATAGCAAACAAATTAAATTTTTAAAGGTTGTCAAACAGGGGCTATATAGGAGGTATAACTCATTGGTAAGAAATGGTTTATTTAATTATAAAGAAATCAACATTCCTAATTGCCAATCAGGAAAACTACCTACCGTGAGATATTGAAAAAGCCCATCCAAAAGTTGAGGCTTCAGATATATGCCACTTGTTATATAGGAAGCCTGCCATAATATATGCATCCTTAGAAATCAGCAGACCAATGTAAAAAAGCTCATTACCATGAATGAAAGAAATTAGTGATATGATTTGCAGATTGTTATCAAAATGCTACCTGCTGCAGGAAAGCAGAATGTTGAGCTCCTATTATACATGAATCTATAGGCACCTGCAAGAAAAATTTGCATTTAATACAAACAATTTATGAAGAACCACTTTAAGGATACACGCTACCAGATCAATGTACATTTTCCATAGCTTACTAGACAGTGTCATTAGAAGAGATTGATAAAATTAGTTATATTACAGACGACTTGTAGTTTCTAGAATTAAGCTGATGTTTGCTAGTAGAACATTTCACTTCATAAAATATATCAACTTTAGGGACACCTAAGCTATCGGTTTACACCATTCTCTATCATATTTAATTAGCACATGCATTTTTTTTAAGTCTACAACCCTCGCTTGTTTCAGAATGTTCAATGTGTATATTTATTATGAGGGTATTTGACGCCCATTTTTAAGAAAAAAATGAATTTTAAAATAGTAGATTGACGGAGAATGTGTGAATGAAAAGTTTTTGATTTACGTATAATATTATTTTAATGAAAAATGTGTGGTTGAAAAGAAGAGAGAGAAAAATGCATTTTGAGAAAAATTTGCCAGCAGAACATGCAATTAAGGCTATACTCCAGCTTAAGATGGCAATGATAGACCAGCAGGGTGATTTTACTGCCATTACAAGTACTCTTGGGAGGGGAGGAAAAACATCAAGTGGCTGCTGAAAGAGTAAAAGAGTCCCCAAACAACGGAAGGCTAGAAGAGAAAATAGTCAAGCTGATTCAGCTTTATGGAAATAAGGAGTTGGCAAAACAGGTGAAATTTGTTACTGACGGTAAAGAGTGTAGATATGATCTTTCTTTACTTCAACAAGTCCTCTCATCCAAAGGTGACGGTTTGATGACTATTGAAATTACAAAAGACATAAAATCACATACGCTTGAAGTGAAAAGATATACTTGTTCTATTTATCAGACTTATGTTACATAATTGAATAATTTCACTGTTCCACTCAAACAAAATGTGGCTTACATCAGTATGCAGTTTGTTTGATATTTTATTAGTCATTGGTAACAATGAACTTGAGCAGCACAACACAGTCCATAGTGTAGGATGGTTTGATCATGAATATGGCTCTTCACGTAGTAGCCACTTTGGATTTTCCAAGCTATTGGTCATGTTGCCACAAGCAAGGGGAGAGAAGGGGGAATATCATGTTAACTCCAGCCCTTTTATTGAGGGGAAATATTTTAAGTATTGGCTCACAAATGTATTTTTCGATATTGTCTGGTTTATTTTCGAAAAATATCTCACAAGCTGAGAAAAGCAATCAGTCTTGATGGAATATGCATCGTAGTAATAATCCAGTCACTTGCTCATATTGAAAAGGCATTATCACAAAACAAGAATAATTTTAGCACATGTAGGTAGCATCAGAAATATTAATTCTAAAGCATACAATTTACCATTGAGCGTTGAGCAGAGAAAATTGCATTCATGATTGCAACATATCTGCAAAGAAAACCTTTAGCCCAAATCTGAGGGATGAAGTAATAGCTGCTTCAAAAAAATCTTAAATAACATACTGTCCAGGTCCATCTGGAGATCCATGCAAGCATAGAATCTGTCATTGTTGGGCAGTTCTTCATCAGTGATATATTATCCAACATATCATATCAATTGTTTGAATATTACTACAACAAAACAGCAATCGGAAAGAGTAAGTTACAGCAAACAAATGTTAATAATATATCCTGCAAGGAAAAAATGTACTTCTAACCATTTACAGGAAGATAAGTAGGAGTGAATGATGAGAAAACTTTAAGTACATGTGTATTGCAGCAAATTGCCAAGTGTTAACTTAAGTTCTTTTTGTTTATCTCAATTAATCTGAAGTGCCAAATAACTTAAATTCCAAATTTTATTCTGTGAAAAAAAAAAAAAAGGCCATAAATAATTGAACTTACCCGAGGCCGTGGATGAAGTGGCCCTGATCGAAACACCTTCTGTATATCTGATTTATTCATTCAAGTCATATCAAACAATATTTCTGAACAACAATCCACTTGTACATAATTAAACATTATACAAGAGAGACAACAATTATGTAAGGTATAGCATCTTATTAAAGTGAAAGGATACAGCAGAGAGCCATGGAGAGGGAGCCAGACAGAAGAGAAAAGCCGGGTCCATCAACTGAGTCATCACGGCACAGCGACTCGTCTTTGTCCACGAACTCCTCCAATTTCTGCAGCAGACTCTCCCCTTTTTGGTTATGATTCTGTAAAGCTGAGGAATCAAAAATGTAATCGCAGGAATTGTACCCTGTCGCAATTACTACAACTTGGTTTAGCTGATTTAACAAAAGTATTGAGTTCAAAAACGCCAGTACCTGTGGAGCAGAAATTAAAATTCAATTATTTTCTTCAGTTTAAAAACGAAACAAGAAAATAATACGCTGAAATTAGAGAGAGGATGGGGTCCAAAAAGGAAATTACGTTGGAGATAAACTTGGAGAACGAAAGACTTGTATTGATGGAGTTCCAGAAAAATGGGTTGGTGTCGATTAGCACCATCAATAGGCTAACATCATCTGGAAAAATATCAAAGAAATTGGTTGGTACTTGATGCAGATACATACCAACAAAATTATGCGCGCTTGTATAGAGAGAAGAAGGGACCTGCGTAAAGCTTAGACGCAGCTGGAGCCATCTTCTTTTTTGTCGGAATCGTTATTAGGATTCTGGGACGGAATTGGGACTCTCACTGGCTTTAAACCCAAGAGAGATTCGAAACAGTCGAAGTTTTAATTTATCAACAATTTAATTATTCTTGCCACTGTTATAACATCCGACAGTTTGGCCGAGTGGTCTAAGGCGCCAGATTTAGGCTCTGGTCCGGAAGGGCGTGGGTTCAAATCCCACAGCTGTCATAACTCTTTTTTTAGTTTTTACTCTTTGAATAAAATTCAGCGTGTTGCTTCATAGTAAAATAGTTTGTATTTTATCGATTATTTATTTATTTATTATTATTATTATTTTTTAATCATGTTTGGTACCTCGAATATAACCAAATACAGCATAAGAGAAGTAAATTTTTGTCAATTATCTTCCTTTCTTCTGTGTTGGTTTGGTCAAAAGAGAGATCAAATTTGTAGTAGTTTGGATCAATTTGATCTACCTCAATATCGAATTATCATTCCAAAATTTTTAAGAAACCAATCGATTTGATTGGCAATACTTTTGAAAAGTCAAAAATTTCTTTCAAGATAAAGAATCTGTTTTTGAACATATATAAATAGTTTTTTGAAAATATTTTATCTTATTAAAAAATAAAGATGATCTAAAATAATTTTCTCATTAGTCTGTGATACCCATAGTTATTAAAATCAGATCGGACTGTCCGGTCCAAAAACCAACAAACCAAATTGTTATTCGGTCCGATTACTATAATTTGTACATTTAGCAAGTGAATAGGTCAAAAATTGGTTGAACCACTCGATACCATGGCCGAATCGGACGAGTTTTGATGAAATCGGAATCGGTTCATATGGCAGAGTCAAGTGCAAAAAAAATTTCAATATGCAAAGGTAGAGATTCAAACCTTGACGTGCGAAGTGAAATATTACATCATTGACCATTATGGCAACATCTAAACTTGTATCATAATAGTGAACTAACACATACATATTTTATATTTAGAAAAATTGTGCTGCTTTATTTTAAAAAATATTTTTTTAATTAAAATTATGAACTAGCGACAACCCACTAGTAGAACCACGATTCAGTGATCCAATGATTTTTCCGGGTCGATGAACGGATCGGGTCCGATAAATATGGTTGTACCATAGGCAAAAATGGAAGCACGGGCCCTAATCACCCTTAAAAAAAGATTAAATAAAAAGGATATGTGGAAAAACTACAAGAGGACAAAGTTGGTTTATTGCCAATTCATGTGGAAGGATATTGACCTTTTTCCATTATTTTTTAATATCCATAAAAACATTAGCTACTAAAGTTGCAGTTTGTGCCTTGGAATGAGCAAAAACCAAATTTCAAAACCATACGTCTCCTCCTCCAAGAACCCTGAGCATCATCCTCTTGTTTGTTTGGGTAACCAAATATTAAACTTTGGCTGTTTTCTTCTGTTTTTATTTTTATTTATTTTTCCTGTTTTTTACTAAATTTGTGTGTTTTTTATTGATTGCGGGAAAAAAAGGTGAAAGAATAGAGAGTGGTGTTAATCAGTATGGGAAGTCAATCTGATTCTCCTCCAGATTCCGTTGTTGAAAAGCCCCAGAACCCAGGTTTGATGTCTCTTAACAATTCTATCTTTATTGCTGAATTTAAGTTTTCATTTTTATGAGTTCAATAATGTGAAATTTAATTAAGCAAGAATAATTGGATTTCTACTCAATTAATGGACCGTATATGTTTGGCTATGTTAAAACGTGCTTGGATAAGCACACTTACTTTAATTTAAAGATGAGTAACTTGCTTATTTTTAATTTCGAAGAGTAAAGAAAATTACTTGATCCCTTATAAGTAACATGTTTAAGCTTAGACAAACATGCTGAGATTTGTAGAAGAAATTTATAGTTACTTCAGTGTACTGTATGTCAATGAGCAACACATGATTTGCTGACTCTACAGATTAAATGAATTTTTAAAGTATAATTTGCCCCTTTCCTTGTGTAACTGGTGTAGAACGCAATGAACAAAGGTAACTGGTGTAGAATCTAAACATGGAAAGTAGTCATATAATAATCCAATAGGATTCCCGTCGGTAACCGATAAGTATTCTATAGCATTTTAACCTTCTTCTTCTTCTTCTTTTTTTTCTGTTGATTGATACAAGGGAACCTGCACATAAAGGTCACTGTAATTCACTCGTTTGGAATTTACTTTAAGCTCTATAATGGGAGAAGAAAAAATGTCGGAAATAATTTTATTGAGTCTATGCATACATAAATAAAGCGAATTTTTTTAGTTCAGGTTAAAACCAGTCGGAATTTTGAGCCAAGGCAGGTTTGGAATTGGAATAGTTGCCTTCTTCGAATCTAGCATTATTAGTTTTAATATCAATTACAGAAACAATTGATAATGTTGAATTTGTGAGTGAGTTTTATTATGATCTCACAGAAATGGTGAAATGATTTAATGGTGAAAGTTAAAATCATGAACCTGCATTTGCCATGTCTGAGTCTGTATATTCGTGAGAATGAACTTGGTTGATAAATTGTTTTCTGTAGCTAATTTTATGACAGGTTATTAATGGACCAACTGAGAAGTTTTCTATATTTTAAAAGCTCCAAAAATTGAGATATCCAAACAGATTCCTAAAGTTGACCATTCTGATTAATAAATTCAATTAAAAAGTAGTACCTCCTGAAGCATTTTTCAAATACCAGAGTTCACGCTCTTCCCACGAATTAGTGAATCAGGCAGGATGTCTTTGATTGGAACATCAAACAGAGGGTCAAATCTTTGCGGTCATGTGATTCTTTCCGCATTCTCATTCTCCTGCATGGTAATTTCCGTTTGGATGTTTGACTTGCTGTCGATTTATATGTAATACAAAGTTGAATGTTATCTCCAGTTATAAATTCAATGCCTCTTAGAAGGCATTGATCGTATGAATCAAGCTTGAAGCATGATTTGCTGGTTTTGTATTATTCATAGTGTTTATTCTAGATACAGTTTCATGTTGATTTCAGTTTACTTTTACCGGTCGAATCTTAAGTTGATTTCTCTTTTAGTGAACCAGTTGCCAGTTACATTCTCAATTTATGGTCTTTAGGTCCCACAGATATTAAGTTTCTACACATTTTTTGTTTCTGATGAATGATTTCGCCCTTTGTTTTCTTTGTCTTTTTGAGGCAAGCACTGATCTAGAGAGGTGCTTTTGTCACCTCTCAGTTTTATGTATTAATCTTTCCCTCCCTCTTCACGGATTTGCCTGTGTCAAAATCTGGCTATCGATGATAATAGTTTTCAATTTAAACTACAGTTTCACAGGTTACACAAGCAGCTGTTGACGATCATCAAAATGCCAAGGCAGAGGCTGCAAAGGAGAGTTCTCCACCTTCTGTATTTGTGAACTCAGAACCAATTCGAGAGGATCAAGTGCAAAATGCTGTAAAGTTTCTTTCGCATCCTAAAGTTAGGGGATCTCCAGTAATTTATAGGAGATCATTTCTTGAAAGGAAGGGACTTACGAAAGAGGAGATAGATGAAGCCTTCCGTCGTGTTCCAGTAAGTAACCTTCCCCATTCCCACTCCTGGGTAAACAAATTATGTGAAGCAAAACATTAAGCCCTTGTTTGAGCCACATTATATTCCTAAGAATGCATTTTTGAATAGCGTATTGATGGAAAATATGTGGTTAAAAAATAAAGAAAAGTTTTGAATTTGCATATAATATTATTTTATTGAAGAATGTATTATTAAAATGATGTCAAATCACTATTTAAGAATGTATCTTTTTGAAAAAATGTGGCTCAAACATAGCCTAAATCTTTATATGTATGCATCTATTTGTCTGAAGGGTGATTATGAGAGATGAAGGTAAGTTTATGGATTTATTGGTTTCTGTAAATTACAGGATCCTACCCCATCTGTTACAGCCTCAGAGTCGGTTGTCCCTAATCAAGGTAACAAATTATATTGTTTGATTGAGATTCTTGGCCTGTCTCAACAATACAAAATTTGACCTGCCTATTATGTTCCTATCTCTCCGCTTCCACATTAATAGCAGATGGGCAACTAAAATCTTCATCAAATATTCAATCACAATCCCCGACACAAACTCTGAGGCCTGGACCAGTTTCACCTGCAGGAAGCATTTCAAAAATGGGAACTTTCTCTCGATTCCACTGGTCTCATGCTCTTCTTGCTGTAGGGTTCCTAGCTGTTTCAGGAGCTGGAACAGCAGTGCTTTTCAAGGTATTATATTGAAAACCTTGAATTTAACAAGATATGTAGTCATTTGCTTGACTGTTACTGTTTCACGAGGAAATAACTTACATACAAATGGTATAATATTCCTAATATGATCTCATAATTATGCGCCACATGCTTGTGTCAGAATTCAATCATCCCAAGGTTGAAAGCTTGGGTACGCAAAGTTGTATTGGAAGAAGAAGAAGGAGAAGAGGTTTTGCTTAAGGAAAACAACTCAAAAACAAGTTTGGCAGAAGAAGCTGCTGCTGCTGCAAAAGCTGCAGCTGCCGCAGCTTCTGATGTAGCCCGTACAAGCCAGGAGATGTTGATGTCAAAAACTGAAGGTGGGTTTTTAATGGATTCCAGCCTATGTATCAAGGATGACTTGTCCAACTATTACCGTTAGCTCTGTTTCCTATTCTATAGTGTTTTACTTGCTCTTGCAACTAGTAACTCTTAAGTAGCAACCGTGTTTGGCATATTCACCTTCTTTGCAGAGAAGAGATGCTTTGAGGAGCTAATCAATATGCTAAATGCACAAGTTCGTGAGATGAAGTCAATGAGTAATGCCATACAGAAATTGGAAGGTTAGTTAAAAAAAAATAGGTTCTTTCTGTCCACGATCCTGAAATTCTTGTTTATGTGGGTCTTTCCCCTTACCTGGATATGGATTATTTAATTTTGCTTAATTAAAATGAAGTAGCATGCAGATGTGTAGACAGTTATCAAGAACTAGCAGGATTCGTCACTTTAGGACTTGATTCCATTTCAGCGGTCTTTCTGTCATTTTTTTTCTCAATATTCTTTGCAAATGGGAATTGACCACAATATAGCTGACGTCAACATTTTCTTATGAGGCCTTTCATGTTTCTATCAATTGGCTATGTAACAAGAGTGAAGCACATGATACTTAGCTCTACACCAGTATTGAGCAACTTCTTCCAAACTCATCAAGTGCCGTTTCTTCACGGGCCATGTACATGTTCATAATGACCCTTATTTTTCTTTTTGAAACTTCATGATTCTCATTGGCTCTCTCCCTATCTTCCCACTTCAATCGAAAACACAATGATTTGAATGCCTATGGACGAACTTTCTTTTTTGCAATGGGAATAACTATTCGTTTTGAATTTGTGATTCTGTATAACTTATCAAAAAAAATAAATTTGTGATTCTGTATAACTCAAACTAATTAACAAAAATAAGAGATAATGTCCCTTGTGAGGGACAGTTGGCATCTTCTTCGCTGGACACAAAGTTAGCTGCTTTATGCTAGCGTGGAGCTGAGTAATAGTGGCTGAAGCCAAGAGTCCCTATTTATTCACCTCCCTTGGTCTTTTTTAATCTACTTCTTTTTGTATTGTAATTTTTTATTTCTTTCTTATCTTCTTCTTTACATCAGTGTTTCTCCCATGGAACGTCTCATCAATGAATTTCTGCTGAGTGGACATTTTCTGTGTTGATATCAGGGCAAAGTAATATCCACGGAAGAATTCCTGTTGAAGGAGATGATTACAGGATCTCACAGAGGAGTTTGAGGGTGAGCTGATTATCAGCATAAAATTTTTCCCTGTAGTCAATGAAATATTTGAAGTTATTTTCCTGGTTTTCCAGGTGCCTTATGCCAATGGCAAGATAAATGATTATCCACAATCAGGTATGTCTTTGATCAATTACTGATTCTCCTTTTTCAGGTTTTACTAGCTTCTTAATATTTATGATATCGAAAATATTCTTTAATCTGTGAGATCTTTGTCGCTGCCTGTTTTTGTGAAACCTTCTGTTGCTCCTCACCCAAAATCATATACAGAGGTAACTATTTCAGACCCAGTTTCTACCTGAAGTTTTCTAGATAAGAAGAATTACTTGTTCGTGATTGTGAATTTTCCCTAATACAAAGAACCGTTTTTGCAGATTATGCCTATGATTCAAAGAGGGGAGAAGCCATCCAACATCACAGTTAGTCCACTCCATTAACTTGGTAGTATGACATTTCTTGGTTTTAGTTTTGAAAGTTTCGTGTTTATTATCCTGTCTCAGGAGATCAATTATGCACCTCCAAATCCTAATCAACCAGTACCAAATCCTCGCTTAGTACCAACGGCTAAGGTTTGTCTCTTATAATTGCCATTCATCTTGTTTTTCCAATTCTTTTGCGGTCTAGGTTGGCTAATTTGTTCGACCAGTCAACCATTCTTTTGAACGTTACCTCCCCTCTCCCCCCCCCCGGTTCACCTCCCCTGAACACCTAAAATAGTTATATTAAGAAAAGGAAAGTTTGCCGGACTAGAGAAATGTGGAAAAGTTCAATTTCCTAAATGTTCGTCTAGTTTTCCTTGTTTGACTGACGACTGGTAATTAGGCGTCTGATTCGAAATCTTACCTTTCTCACTATACACTAAAAGGGTCGGTCTCCCATGATAATTCGTTATTGGTAGCTTTTTACTAGCAGTACTCAGTCATGTCCTGTGAACAGCCTTGGGAGGTTGGTCAAGCTCGGAACAGCTCCAGCAATGTTCTTCAGTCACAAGGGAGCAATGATGTACTATATCACGAGTCCCAAGATAATCAGTCTATTGCAGAAAATACAGTGCCTTGGTGGGAACGGAAAAATGCGCGAATCACTGAAATTGAAGCTGTTGATGAACACAGATTTGGATCTTCCAATGTAGTTAGTAATGGGCGACCAGTTCCACGGTCGTGGGTTCCTCCCCAGCCACCACCTGTTGCTATGCAAGAAGCAGCTGCAGCCATTCGTCAGCCAAAAAAGACATTCTCTTCGTCAGAACAATTGACTGATAACCAATTGCTTGCTCGTTCTTCAGACGTGCCAGATGAGCTGCAGAGCATCACAAGAATCTCTGAATCAGGCGGCATAGTGGAAGCCAATGGAGGAAGTTTGGGGCTTAACTCAAGTGAGATACAAAGAGAAGAGGACAACTCGTATTTTGAAACATGATTAACCAAGGAGCCGAGGACTCTATTTTATGCTGATTTGAATACGGCACTTGATTGCGAATCACGACAATAATCGTACAGAACTGGAAGAAAATGATATGTCAGCATGTACATTTGAACTTGTTTTGTTGGGCAAGATCAAGTAGTACACTATTAAGGTGATCTACGGTGATTTGAGATTATATATTATGGTAAAACAAGTTTATTATATAACCCGTCTCTTATCTTGAATCTTTGTTTTTTATCCAAGAGCTTGTTTGGTTAAGCCTAAAGAATAAGTTTTTTCTTTTAAGTAATTTATTTCCGACTTTCACTAGAAATAAAAAATAGTAAAAAATATAACCAATCGTGTTCAGATGATTAATGTGTGCATATATAGCTGTACAATGGATTGGGTTCAGTCCAAATTGGGGTGGTGTCCCTAGAATTTTCACTTGAGATTGACGGCAACTCAACTACAATAATACTTTTTCGTTGTCTTGCTCAGTTCAACATTAGACTTAGCTCAAAGAGTCGATATCTTCACTTTGACACCAGCCTACTTATTTTTTTAAGGTTGTGTTCGGTGTACATAATTTGGGTACATAAGTGTGTTCACACCCCTCAAATCCCCCCCCCCCCCAATG